ATCACCCTACGCGCGCTAGGTTGGGTTGAAGATGAAACGTACATCAGCCGGTTATGCAAAAGCCGTATAACAGGAGCTATTAAACGCACCTCAAACTTGGGTAACTAAACCGATTACGGTGCGCCCGATTGTGTGCGTTCACGACGCAACATTTTTAACTTCACGCGCAATTTTGGGGGTACTGTACGCAGCCTGACAACCTGAACTTATAATCTTGTGAGGCGGTCTTTTGGCGCGATCCCACTGCCATTGACGTGTAATGACAAGAAATGGTACGTTTCCGCATGGTTGGACAACTCGCCCAAATCATTAATGTGCGAGCATTTTCGTAATTAATATATATATAGGTCAATGTGTTTCAGTTGTTTATACAGGGGGGGGCCAAAAAAAGTCACTTCGACCGAGTCACATATCAGCAAAGTTTTCGCAGCCCAGACAGAGGACGTGGATACGAGTACCAGGGCGGAAGATACCCAAGATGTTCCTCGATAAGCAGGAGCTGGCTCTCGCCCATCACCTTCATGTACACCAAAATATGAAGTCATCTCCAGTCGCAGCCTGACTGGAGAAGGCCTTTGGAATTCACGTCACCTCCAAACAGCTGCGAAACTTCTTGTATGGAGTCACCCATGGATAGCTACCTGGAGACCAGCACTTCTGAGCAGCTCCGACAACGTCGCTACGGTCCAGGATATCATCTTCACCGCAGTCGCCAAGGCGCGGGTTGATGGTATGGACCGGAAGTTCCTGGAATGTGAAGACCGATATTTTCTTCGTGGACCCCGGACTGAAGGTGAGCGCTGGCGGTTACATCGACAACTCGTGGAGAATATCCTGCCTTCATGTCATCGCCTCTACCTTCTTACTGCTGCAGGATTGGGTGCCTCTACATGGAATCGAAGGAAGTTCTCGCCTACTCGGAATGGAAGGGCACTTGATACCTGAAGAAAACGGAATATCTAAGTGTGTCACCTGACCTAAACCCCTCAATTACGGGTTCAAGCGGAGCTCAACAGGGTAACAGTGGCGGAGAAATCAACGATCTCGCTGAACTTACAAGCAGTACCGAATCACGGTCGCGTGGCAGAATCTCTCGATGGCGCTCGTCCAGAAGGCTGTGGCGGAGTATCATGATAGTATACAATATGCTGTTGAATAATGGTGAAAATGTCCAATCAGAAATTGATGAAGCGCAACTTATAAAGCCTTGATAGTCAAAGAAGAAAAGTGTCTTTTTTGCCCTCCCCCCCACCTCCGTGTATGCGCTGCATATTGTCAGCTTGTGTGCCCAATCGCGGACCGTGCCTTTCAACATTTCTGCTGACCTCGTCCTCCATTGATCGAATGACTATAAAAGTAATTAGACTTGCATCAAGCAAGCAGCAGCTGTGGCGCAGTACTGGGTGCAAACCAATCTGGCTATACATTGGCCCCACCTCCGATCGGATCCGCTCGGGATAACCGAGCCTTCCATCAACCGAAGTCGGCTGATTGATAACTGGCTTGTCCGGGAGGATAGACCAGCAGCCTCTTGCATTAGCTAGCCCTCGCTAGTCACATTGCATTTTCCCAGTACTATGTCGATTGTTGTTTGTGAGGCGGAGATGGTACAGTGACAAGTGGCGTGCTTACCACTCGCGCGGTCCGGGTTCGAATCCCGGGTCGACTCCCGCCCAGGCCAACCAAGCCTTCTACCCTCCGGGGACGGTAAATTGGTACCAGATTCGTCTGGGAGGATAAAACACTGACTTGTACATCGGCTGGCCACCGCAAGTCATTGTATAGGCCACATCGCATTCAATAAGCCACTACGATTCTGAATGGAAGTAGCGTGCCGCATCCCACAAAGGGATTGATCAACGGCGAAGACTTTATCCTTTTCATCGTTTATCTTGATTGAAAGTACATGGCTCATTCCAAGGGTCAATCAACTCCGAGCTCTTTAAGCATCGAAATGATCGGTCGAGCCCTATGGAATCCTGCATAATAATTTAGCCAAAGAAGTCTTGGTTATTTGGAAGGAATCTCAGTAGTTATTTGGTGAAATTAATAACTGTCAATTGCAGCTCGTTATTCAAACACCAGTCCGTCAAAACGAGAACGTCTTATCCAAAGAATCACTATTACGTCATGTGAAATTGATGGAGGAGATCTCGAAATACGAAGTCGACTTGTATGGCGAGTGAGTTTTTTGGTCACTAGAATACCCTAGTTCGTTTATCTAAGGGAATGACGGGCTAAAAACAGGCAGCAGACGTGCTCGTTTCATATCTGAGGGCAGAAAGGGGAGTTTCGAAGTGCGCTCAATGACTCTTGCAAGGGGTCCTGCCAGAAGAGACATATGTATGCAAGAGCAAAGTTCGCAACACCCAGCCGTCGCGAGGTGTACTTGAAACCGCTCATTTTTTGCCCCCACCCCATAGATGTGGTCGCACCATCGCGCGCATACTAGTAGGCTATGTCCAGATACTTAGTTGTCACTCCCACACTAGGTCTTCCGTGGGAACGCTGAAATACCAGACGCGCCGACTCAAGCCCCACGCGTGTGGACCTCGCGGGTCAAGCTATCCTCAAAGATTATTTGACCAACAAGTCCACCTGAAACAGCATGTTCCGAAAAAAATATCGAGCCAAATTTTCCAAAGGTACAGCAACAATAATGTCACTTCTCGAAGCTGAGCATCTCACGTTTTTTACTAGCTTGCCTTGCTCCACTGCTTCCCTCGATTAGCTAATGGTAACTTGCAATAAGATCAAGAAGAAAACCAGAAAAAAAAATTATTTAACATGGTGCGTCCCGGAGCCCATTGCATCTAATGTAAAAAAAAAATACAAAGGGGCGCCGAAATTTAATGCAAAAAAAAACTCCAAAACTGTTTTGAGATTCTGGTGTGAGTAATGCCGTGGCAACAAAGGTTTGGCCGTGACGGCCCTTATGTTTTCGTCATCAAAAATTGCTAAAAATCATCGGGTATCACGGTAGAGCATTGTAAAATTATACGATATTTTAAGGAAGTGGACGCTGAGTGACATCTGTTTCAAGCCGCCTAGCCCAAAGTTCCACACAGGACCTCTAGCCAAAGTAAGTTTTTGAAAACGAGCACTGCAGCGAGGACAAGCCCCTACTCCAACGCTCATGGCCATACGGAGTTAATTCGCAGAAATCTCGATGCAACGATCGACGAGAGAGTAGTTTGCACATCATAATTTTTTTCTCATGCCGCCATGTGGGTCGAGCAATGACAACAGAGATGAAACTCTTTGTCGTAGCGCATGAAAAGAGTCAACCAAAGTGATGAGGAGTTCTTGCGTGTACTACTTGGTGAAGAATATCCGTTCATGCTCTTGTGTTAAAGGGCAGTAGAGTAACAATGGGAACAACCGAGAGTAGCTGCTAAAAGTGCTCCATTCCACCTGTCACCCACGGAGGGCAAAAGAGGCGTGCTTGAAGTACTTGTTCAAATTCACATCCACCTGAACGCATAGGCATCGACTCTAATAACTCATCTTCCACTGATGGGCCCTCTCTTTAAGATGGAGGTGCGAAGTAGGACACCAGAGAGGATCGCGCATGAGTCCACGTGATTGCGCCCAGCAGAGTGGAATGTGCTTTTTAATCAACACCAGTACAGCCTTTCCTGGAAGGCAATAAGAGGCGTGGCCAAGAGCGGCAAGGGTCTAGAGGGAACAGAGTGGGTTGGTTAGTATAGGAGAAGAGTCGGCACGGGAAGACGCAGCAGTCCCTGGCATGTCTTCTGTCACTCACCGCTGAGGACTATGACCATAGGTTTTTTATTGTTTCTACCGTATCAGTCATCAGAGGGCGTACCTAAGAAACTCGTTCAGAAGTACATTCCACTGGACTTGTCAGAATTGTTATCAATAGTTTTTTTATTGCAGCTCATGAATTCGCTGTTGGACAAGATGATACCTTGTATATGGATCACTCCCATTGACTGCTACTGGGAAGGATCGAAGCCATTGGGCCCATATCCGCCTATCAATCTTGGGTAGTTTCATTTTCGAATATTTAATAAGTTTATCAAGGGTTCGTCTCCATAAAAAGACCTCAAAAGACCAAACTCTATGCATTCGAAGCCATGCACTATTTCTAAAGCACAGTACTGCTTTAATCGCGACAGCTGGGCACCGGGCCAGGAGGTTCGAGTGACGGCGACGAGCAGAAGCTAAGTGGTCGCGCGCGACGTCTGATCATGATTCGTTTTCGCTGTTGCCCGAGTCCAATACATGGCGCAAGCGCGGCTTGTCCCCAACGCCGCATTCGCCGTGTCGTCGGATCACGGATCTCCTGACCCGCAATGAAAATGTTGAGATGCATCTTTTTCGAAACGACCAAAGCCCACTTTACATCTTTTTACACGACGTAATATCAAATGCTCTTCAGGAACAAATTAGAATTTTTCAATTTTTCTTTGCAGTGAGGAAGTGAGTGGTTTCGTAACCGCACTCCCGAAGGGTAATGTGTCGTGGAAGAACTTGAACCCGACTGCTGTTATGGCCGAAGTTAGCACACTCTTTGATCTCGGTCCAATCGGAAACTTCTTCGAACGAGTACGTCCCCTAAGTATATCCCTCTTCTTATATCTAGTTTATGAACGTGTGGGAGTAGTGCATTTCACTCTTTATACTCAAGTCGTTATACCTGCCAGAATTTCAGGCCGGTATCGGTGCGGCTTACCTGGATCGGCCATGCATCGACCCGCTGGATCCTGAATGCCCGAAAACGGCACCCAATTATTACGACCGATGTAATGCTATGGAGAAATTCAACGAATGGAACATGGCGAAACCAGATTCCGAAAAGGTGGGCCAAGGTTCTTGATCTGTAGTGGAAGAGCTCAAAACTCAATCCGGTAGAATACGATTTTCATTCAGATTCAACTCGAACGTAAGCCGTTACCCGAGACGAAAAGCCAACAGGATGGACCATCACATCTGACCGAATCCATCCTTAACGACATTTTCGGTGAAATTTAACGTTTTTTTCACGTAGTTCTCTGTTATAAGTCAGACGACTCTCAACACACGAGACATGTCCTTAGACTATTATGTTCCGGGACATGTACCCTTTTGAGGGCAGAATAATGCTAACATGCCATTTATCGTTTTTTTTTGCATATTGAACAGAAATTTAAGGAAGAAAGAAACGTGACACCACTGCCACTAAGAAACCTACGAATTCGGAGAAGTCTAATCCAAAAGACGAAGATTACTATGCGTATGAAGACTCCGATTATGATGTCACTGGAATCCAAAATGCGACGTGTGAGCTCTTCTCCATAAATGCTTCAACGAATAATGATTATTAATTATTAATATGGATTGTACGTGATTATTTTAATGATAATTTTTTGATCTTACTTCAGTCATTCAGAAGAAATTGATCCCAAAGAAGCGTAGTGCCTGGATATTGGCGATGCTTGATTAAATGAGGATAGAGCGAGAATCCAGATCGATAGAGTAATACCTTACTGAAAAGAAATGCACGAATAGATCTGACTATTATAGACTGTCCAGAGAAATTTAGATTGAAATGACTCGCCCCAGGTATAAGGGTGAGCCAGTGGTAGCAACGGCAACATCGGCGGACGTACCGACAATTCTTACATCAGAGTACGGTGTTCGACAGTCTAGAAGGGCTCCCTTTCCTCTGGAGAATGTCATGCTGGGGGGGGGGAGTGCAAGAGTTGTCGCTTGGCTAGACAGATATTCTTGCAGGAGGGAGAGTGCAAGAGATTATCCTGTCTTTGGCTGAGAAATGCAGTTTCATCCTATGATGGCTCACAGAAACAGTCGCATGCCCATTCAGATATTGCATTCGACGTGTAGTTGGAACGATAACTCGAACTCTTTATTGCGAACGATCCTCTATGAAGGAGTAGGGAAGTAGTGGTTTACATTAGCACTTGCCGATCTCCTTTGCGTAGCTTAAAGTTAATTCGAGTAAGCAGCCTCAAAGGTGGATGTTATGTGGATAGGTAATTGCTTTTCCAGGGGCGAAGTCATGGTCGATTCTCAGCTCGACCTTTGGTTTTTCGCACATTTTTTCGGAACATCTTCTGCGAGTTCAGAAAATACTTTTATCCGTTTCTTTGTCAACCTTGCTCTTACTTGCAGCAGAAAAAGACTCAATTGCCGGCAATTCTGTTTCGCTTTGAAGAGTTTTAGTGTTTTTACTGCCCAAATCACCCGAAAGCAGGCCAGTTTTTGCCGACTTTTTTCTTCGTGAGCAGAATTGGCTGAAAAGTTGCCTACTAGGGTAGTCTGCCCATCTGAACATGATTATCACATCCGCTCGGCACGAAACCTCCTCGCACCCGTGTCACAGGCGCCAGCGCCAAAATACCAAGTTCGCTGAAAACTTGTCAACTGGGATAGTTTGACCTCCTGGACACAATATCCCATTAGCTGAGCCCGGAAATGCCTGGCGCCGGCGCCATAATACTCGAAATCACCAGAATCACTAAACTTTTCAACTGGAGCAGTTTGACCTCCTGAACACGAACATCACATCTGTATGGGGCGTTGAGAATGTTTGGGATAGAGAAAAAGGGATAATGTGATTGCGCAACCTGCGTCTGCACCCTCCCCTGAGATGGGGCCCTTTCTCTGCAGGCTGAACCTCAGCAAAGGATTTCTATGACAGGCAACCAGGAA